ACTCTACGAAGGTAAAGAGTATCAATTTGTGGTGGAGAAGGTCCTTCAAACATTGTCATTTTAATGCCCATATGAATAAATTATTACTAAGTAAACTAGAGAATGATATAATGTCAGTTGTTGTTTTTCTTAATGATGCAAGTCACTGTAGCTGCACTTTTTAAAATAATAAATGATATCATGAAAATATTTTGATCCAACACCTTCACCTACTTTTTTATTCCACGTTAAGCAGCTATATAGTTCAAAATATAGCTTTAATCCAGAGGTACATTAAACATCGTTTAGGATAGCAATGGAGCCGCGCTTATGAGATGACTATGGTGTATGTAATGGCACCCATAGCGTGGCAAATTACAACCTTGAGATACGTAATACAGAGAAACCAGTGGCGTAGCCGCCGGAGGTGGGGGGGGGGTAAGACGTCCCCCAATTTGAATTACAAATAGAAAGATACTGAGACAAAAAAAGGGGTACGGCAATATAAAAATAAAAATAAAAAAAGATTACCCAACCTACTATTCCTTTACACTTCCACATTAATCCTCTTAAGTTAGAATGCAGTGGTCCCCTCCCCAATAATGGGACCTACCTACTCTACTATAATGCACAGAGATTTTGATCTCCAAGCATGAAAGCGTGTCTTACAATGTAAGTGTTACTAATTCGTTTAATGTCTGCCTCAAGAAGGCAAGCAGGCGTGTTACGATAAATCAGTTTCGGGCGACTGGTAGAGCGTCGAAATGGAGGAACCTACAGGGGGAACCTGCCCTTAGTATTAACTGATTGCTGAAGAAGACGGAGATGGTGTCAGACACCTTTTTGCAGATATGTTTTTAAACGAAAAACAACCCCAAAATAATCATTAAAAAGAAGAAAAGAAGTTTATTACGGCATAAAAAAAATAATCTATTAATTTCCTTTCTTCAAATTGCATTCTCTTCGATGAAAAGAAGTAGAAATGTTGCATTCCGTGTTACACGCGGGATATCGATGCTGGAGTGATGATGATGGTGATGATGATGATGATGATTTACACAGGTGCACGCTAAAGTAACGGTCAATGGTTGTAATATGTCTTTAATAATACTGCAGCCCATTACTTGATATTCTGATTAATCTCTTAGATTTTCTTTATGCTAATTTCGGTATTGCAAGTGTCATTAAACTTTGCGGACCCAGTGACAGAAAACAAATGACCAACAATATGTAATGAGTTAGGATATCAAATTTAAAGAACACTCATTTACTCATCGTGTAGTGTCGACGAACAGTCCCTCCTGTCCATGGTTCCTTTCGGACTCCAAGAAAAAACCGGTACACCTAGCACCCTTGGCCCAGTCTTCGAGTAGTGGTAATCTAAAAACGCCACCGCATTACCCCCACTTGAAAAGGATGTAAGCACGCCATTCGTTCCTTTCCTCATTTCCATAGCGATCATGTTCTTTCCTCTCATTGACTCACCTTTTTTTGGAAGTCTCACCTTTCAATATTCCCTTCTTCATTTCTTTATCTCTCTTTCCTATCTTTCGTCTCCTGTTTCTAATCTTTTTTGGCAAGACATTTATCTACATTTGCCACTCCCCATCCAGGTGAGGCAAATAGGTATTATACCTGGCACGAAGTTATATTTCTCTTGAAGGCTTCTAGCGCCATGGGTAATAACATTACCTTGTACTTAACGCCTTAAGCATTCCATGGGATGGAAATGTGCGCAAAATAAACGTAGATAATTTTGCCATCATTATTCTTATCATTCTCAATTTCTGCCCTCTCTCTCTCTCTCTCTCCTTTCCCCTCAAAATTATATTCGATCAGAGGAAAATACGTTTGACAAGTAAGTGTATAAAACACAATGGCATCTCATATAAAAGAAAAGTTCCGCATCTGCATGTTATGGAGATGAAGCTAGAACTCTTTGGAAAAAGCACTTACCAACGCAGGCTCCTAGACTTAACCTACTGATAGTGAAGCGCTCTAATGGCTAAAATTTCCGCTTGTTTTTTTCGCATTCAGATTGTTCCAGTGGCAGTATAAGCATAAGATATCAATACTAAACCTTCCGGAGCTTGTAGGCTTTTACTTTAATGAGTGAAAGCAATACACATGGACGCAAAGTTGCGATGACATGGAGTCTGTGTCTTTCAAATATTACTATGACATCGTATTTACAACAAAAGTCATATCCTAAGACTGCCCTAGGGATATGACGAGAAAAGAGTATAGTCACAATCTAAGAACAGATATGTATGGTTATGTAGTGCTTGATTTGAACGTTAAGATAAATATGAGTTCTGGTCAAACGGTCACATTGTGAAAGAAACTGACTGGAAGCAATTGAGAAAGGGCGATTATTTAGTATACTGAATAATGTCTACAGTGGGGTTTGGGAATGCTAAAAAACGAAAAGAAAATGATCCAATCATGCTGAAAAGCATTCGCACTGTACATAAAATTATGTACACAAAATAAGTGGCGTGAGCACTTGGTTCAAATATAGCAGCTATATCCCGAATACAATTGGAAAATCAATTCTTTTGAGGGGACTTTCTTCTATGACATTCTTTTCATTGCACATTTAAAAAAAAATGGTATTAGAAATATGCTCATGAATAATTTGCAGCTTTACTAGAACCCATCATTCTCTTTTAATGGAATGTCTTGGAGGCTTTTTTCCCCGCCATGCTAAATCTCACTCATGACTGATAGTGGTTTCTGCTTCAAGGTCTCAAATACTGGAAATATCAAAAACATGGCTCGGCTCTCTTGAAACATTCTCACAGCCTTATCTCCACTCTTCAAAAGCTCCTACAAATACAAAATGGCATCTTTACTTCAAAGCCTAACACTTACGTATGACAGCATCAGGCGTTCGGGAACATTGAGTGGACACACTAAAATAGACAATGTACCAACTTGGAAAACAGAACAAGCACGAATCGAATCTCTACTTTCATAATGTTTTAACCATAATTCACCTTGAGCTTTGATGATATTTCAGAAATTCAAAAAGGTCTACAAGATTCATATCATGTCAATTTTGCAAAGCTTTGTAAAAGAAGCTCCAAAATAAGTGGTACACAATCCCCATTCTTTGTCTTGTAATGCTATTTTCGAATACTATTTTAAAATCGGTGTGGAACGGAATTGTTCTCTTTGTATAACACATCGAGAACTACATTTGTCTGTCAGCGGGTTTGAAGATTGAAAACATGAGTGATTGATGGTGCGCGTTAATTATTCGATCATTTCTGCAAAAGCGATTTTAATCCCGTAAATCTGCTTTCGCATTGAAGAGTTCATTTCCAAAGGTCACTTCCAATCTCACTTCCAATTTTCTAAAATACCTGGTGTTGTGTTGTGTTGCTATAAACCGTGTCTGTATACATCCCCATGTGTTTAAAACAGCTGTTTACGAGTATAATGCCTGGTCATCTGTTCAGCGCGTAATTACAGCCGATTTCAGACTGTTTATCTGATGATATATCCACGCACTCAAACACGCACACCCACACTTAGTATCACGCACGCTTGAGTGACCGGCTAACACACACATGCTTGGGGATAGGTTATGGATGCGCCGTATGTAAGCGTGGTGATCTATGCTAGAACATAGATAGAGGGGTGATGGGTCATTATTTTAGCATTTGCGCCTCGGGAGTAAATTGTCACTTTTTATGAATGGATGTGATTAATTCGGACGGACATCTAGGGTGGGCAGCTGCTCACAGAACTTGTCTTATCTATTTGAGAGCTTGACACCATCTTTTAGACGTTAAGTGAAGTGGTCTTAATACGCGCTGATTCACAAAATGTTCACCTGTTATTAATCGTTTGGATGTCAACTCTAAAACGATAAAAGTCATGCTCATTTTTTTAAATAGTTGATTTGAATTTGTAAAGAAGTCATTTAAAATAGTAGTTTATTCTTTAACTCTCAAATACTTGATCCAATCCATTTAATAGATAAGACCCTACACTAATCCCTTAGATTATGAACGATAACATACTTTAATGCCCTAGATAGGTGGGTTAAAGTTGCAGTATAATCAATTATTGGTCAAGTAAATATTTGTCTCTTGTTGCACGAAAACGTTAATCTATGCAGATATTAGTTAAGTGCAAGGTAAACGATTCTAGAAATTTGCCTATAAAGCAAGAAATACAAACTTGTCCAACATCATTTAGTTAAAGTTTCATGGTTTATAGTGTCAATCAATTTTTCCAAAAATGTAAAGAAAATTGTCAAGTCTTTACCGAAATCAATTCATAGCTGATTTTTATGCACTATTCTTACTGTTGCTAAGCCTGAAATTGAATATTAACATTAATGTTCGTTTCCATGTATGATAAATCTAGGATGATTCCACGACTTCCTTACTTCTTTCTCTCTCTCTCTCTCTCTCTCTACCTCTCTTTCTCATGCCCTCATTACTTCTTTTTAATAGAAACTCAATCTATTTTCTATTGCCACTTCTCGAAACTCATGACACTCCCTATTCTTCTTTCACACGCGCACTTCCAAGTGCAGCTGACCTATTTGTTAAAGGCCATGTGGTATTCCACGACTCACTACTTCATCCAAATGATGGAAGAACTGTCATAATGTATGATATGTAAGATTAGCATTGTGAAGATCTTATTAATGTTTAAAATATGTCTCTTTGATATCAAAAATATTTACTTTTAATTTCTTTCTTTACTAGGTCCTTTTGGAGTCTGAGTCTAGTAAGGCAACCCAATTTTCCCATTCTGTTACACATGACCGGGGATAGTGATGCGACTGATAGACATTGACCTGTTTGGAGCAGATATTGAGTTCCCTAATAAAACCTAGAATGGCTTAGCGCAAAGCTGTCTCTTCGTGAACGTTTGACAGAATGTCTTACCGGACGATTTGAAACCTGATATAGACATTTCTTTCCGAACTAAAGTAGGAATTGCCCTCCTTTCACTTGGTTGGAATAATACAAATGAAGTATAAAATCAATTATCCTTACCTTGCTTATATATTTCCGGTGCGAATTAATGCAAAATATAACAATTCTGACAAATGAATAAGCCTCGTTTGCTTATATAATTCCAATGAGCTGCTGGACGAAAGTCAAAATCATGAAAGACAATTTAAATCACAAGAATATTTCTGTTTGCATTTCTTTGGTGTTGTTGCACATATATTTCCAGGATAATAGAATTCACTCGTAATTGATGTAGCTCCTTGAGTCATCTTATAATACGCAGAAAGAAGCAGAATAACTTAAAGTGAGCGATGTCAGAGCAATTCAAATTACACACCAGTTCTTGGTTTTTAGCGTAAAAGGCGAAATTTGATAATTTCTTTTCAATAAACTTATTTCATCCTGTAGGTTATAGAGCCCATATCCTACATCAGTTGGTCATCCTATTACAGCACCTCGAAGAACATCCTCACTTCTCCTCTCTTCATCTGAAGATGGACATTACACGTCAGAAACGAAATGAGGTAATGATTGCAGACAACTGGTGCATCCCTTGCCATCGTATAACTTTTGAAGTGATCCTCATGATTGCTCTCCAATGGCATCCGACGCCCTTCATTTGAAAACACTTCACCTCGACATTACGCTTGGCACGTGGTCCATGGCAGTCAGATTGAGATTGAATTTCACCAGATCTGACAGTATTAATAAAGAAGTTCATTCGAAATTCAACCCCCAGACGGGCTTACATGACAGGTAAATCTAATAAACGCCTTCATTCAGGAATGCGTAAATATTATCATGAATGACGATAATTATCGGTGCCGGTTTTACGCTTACAGTCGGAGTCCATGGTCCAAATGAGGGCAAATATTTACATAATATGTACCAATGGCGATTTTCCATCGCTGTTTTATTCTGTACTTAATCACCAAGAAAGAGATTACAAGATTACAATGCAAATGTCACAACCGAGTTCAAAACGTACAAGCTTAAAAGTTGGTTGACCGGAAAACCAACGAGCAAAAATGTCCAATGGCTATTAACTGAAATGGTGTATAATTATGTCGGTAAATAATACATGTTTTAGTCATGATCTAAATTAGACACGAGATTACAACGTGTAGAGCACTCACGCATGTTGTTATGAATCAGCGACGCTGTGAGGGGTAAGACACGGCCTTGACAGCACAGGTGGAGGAAAAAAAAATCATCGAAAAATAGAATGGAAAGAGGTTGACGTGTCATGACTGCTTCGTAATCGCTTTGATCATTGATGATGCTTGCCGAAACGTGTATGATACCCCTTGTCTTCCATATAATTTAAAGACCCTATCCGATGAAAATACAACTTGATATAAATGAAAACTGAATGAATGTAGAATACAAATATAGAATATTTAACAATTATTTACCCTTTCATTTTTGCACGAAAGCAAATTAAAATATAATTTTCCGCATCCTTCCAAATAACGGGTCAACAGGGGTCAAATTTGGTAAAGTTACAGTGACTACATAACATGGGGACCCGACCGTTTCACCTACATGTATAAAGCTGAGGCGATGAGTTGTGCTTAATCAATGCAAAGTCATTGTGAATATGCATACTCCACACAAGACCATGTTGTCAAGTCAATAGCAAGTTTTTAGGTCGACATCTTCCGATTTTCAAAGTTTTCAGAGAGCTGATATTCCTCTGACAGACACCAAAATGGCATATAATTTATATTATTTTAATCTACGGATTATAAGCTTTCCGTTGATATATAATTCATCAATCCATTTCATTTTTCAGATTGGATATGGTCTTTAATATGACCTAGATTTCAATGACATTCTCTAAGTGAGGGTGGTAGTAACGCAAGCTAAAACAAGGTAAAACAGAATCTCAAGCGTGATTGTCTTTGACATAACCCATTGTCAGTTTCGTTCCACTAAAAATACAAATTAAGCCACAATTCCCTTTCATACGAAAGCATAGTATCCGCAAGACTATTACTCGTATCAAGGAGCGGCGATTTCTTTTCTTGACCGGGGTGGGGGGGGGGGGAGGGGGCGAAATGCGAGGGACGAGGGAGCATAGTGTAAACTGTGCTTACGTGATACCAACGGAATACAGATTTTGTACAATATTTACTGGTACATTTTGAAGGATGTTATGCGAGAGAGTGTAGCAACCGAGCGAGAAGATTTTTGCATTTATATTAGTCTTAATGCTTTAATCTTGGGCCCTCCAGAGCCTAAAAGTGTGTTGCAGTCATTAGTCAGTATTTGCTATAATTTTTTGTGGGCATTTTTTCAAATTTTCCGGGCGATGATCCCTTTTAAAAAAAAATGAGGGGGAATGTGTCCCCCCCCCCCTGACCCCCGGGATCGCCGCCCCTGCTGGTATCATGATTGAAACTAATAAATGGACTTCGGTTCTTTGCTCCTTAAAACATTTCTATAACAAAAGTAAATGACATCACCTTGTGGATTTCTCCTGTCAGGCAAATTGCTAGATTACCAAATTAATTTCTATAAATGCATAAACACTGTCGCCTGGATTATGTAGAAATATCTATTAAAATGTTCATTATAGATAATGATCGTTATTATGGTGCAAGCCCTTTGATTAAGCTTGTATCGAATGGTACTCATAAATAATACAAATTGTAAACCCATGTTTAAATAACTCATTGCAGTTCAAATAATCCAATACAGGAATCGGTCTGTTATTGTTTGTCTAGCCATTTATAGCCAGGCATGCAAAATCAAATGATATTCGTCATCACATCACCTTGTAGACCCATAGTCATGTGTTGCCTAAAATATTTATTTTCTTTACAGGTATCGTGAAACGTAATTGAGCTAGATTAAGAATAAACTACGTAAACGACTTTCAACGTTGCTGTAATGAAGACACGTCTTCCCTTTACTCTTGGGAAGGTATGTGATAAATACGAGAGGTGACGAATAAATACGAATACTTTTTAAATGACCTAGACGATTTCAGGATGAAAGATAACGTCGTCTGAGAAAGTCAAGTTTAAGAATGTCAACGTCTGAAGTTTCAAATTAAGTATAAAACATTCACAGAAAAAAAGTACGTACCATCTATTTCAATTTCCTATTTCCTATATATCTGTAATAGAACGGATAACGGATCTTTTAACACTTTATTTGTTAAAATACATAAATCAAGGATAGACATTGGGAATACTTTTCTACATGCATAATTAATGTAGTTACTATGAAACGTTTGTACCCTTCATCCTGTCACATCATGGACCTACCACAAAATTAATTATATAGTGTTGGTTTCTAAATCCTTACAATTTATAAAATGCTTGCTACACAATGCCTGTCACTTGGTCATATTCCGAGAGTCAAGTTTCAAGCAATCAGCACCGTTGTTAATTCGAAATCACCCAATATTCAATATCATTTCTATTTCAAATACATGTCCATCTACTCCTTACATATTTTATTCAGTTTCTATTATTGGGAAAAGTCAAACATTGTCTGTGTCTTACTTTTTAAGCAGTCTATGTAGCCCTCCCTTTGAAAATTACGGAAGAAATTACTGCGTTTTGGACAATTACGTCATAAATACCAGTGTGAAAACGAACAGATCTTTAAAAAAAACAGTGATCCTATTACAAATATTCATTTTCTTTTTGAAATAATAAGTGCGTCGATATGTCACTGTTTTGCAAAAGAAATGCTTAAATGCTTATTAATATCTTAGGATGTTAGTATAAATGACCGCAGCTTAAACGTGTTAGAGCTACAGGACAATTCGTATTTCTGTCTTAGCTGACTTTATATGTGGTTGCTTATAGATACTGAGGTGATGTACATCATTTAATTTACTCATCAAAGGTAATTTATGTATCCAAATTGCTTTGATGTTGTCCCGAAACATGTTACCGTCTCGGTCATTAAATGTTCATCCCGTATTCATATTCTACATCTACTCATACGTTGTTACCAAGGGCGTCAATCAACGTTCAAGAAGAATAGCTGAGGGAGACGGGGACAGGTTCCTTGTTTTCTCCCTGACATTGCCTGACAGTACGGTGTTGGTGAGAGCAATTTCCCCCTCAACATTGCATTCGGGAATTGCGCATTAGTAAAAAAAAAAAAAAAAAACAAGAGGTAGTACTTGGTATCATCTCCTACTCTCTTAAAAATATTTTGTTTAAAGAAGAAAGTGTGTGTGGGGGAGGGGGAAGTGGGATGGGGTGAGGCTGATGGTTTGGTGTTATTTCCTATTCTCCTAAAAACGTGTGCGTGTGTCTGTGGGATTGGAATGAGGGGGGGGGGGGCGTTGGGGTGGGGTGCGACGGGGTTCAGGTTTTACGCCCTACGTTCCTACGAAAAACACGTGTGCGTGTGTTTTTGGGGGTGTGGGAGAGGGGGGATTGGTATTTCGTCCTACTCTTCAACACACATGTGCATATGGGAGGGGGTGGGGCCTGTGTCTCACGTGACGCTCATGTTCATCCACACCTGACTGGATTATGATATGATATGGCGTCACCTTTGACATAATCTGTGTGTTCTAGCCACGGCTCAGAAAATCACTTGTACGTTTGGTCGCCCAAGCGTCCAAGCAGTGACTGATGACTGGGGTAAATGTCCTTTAAGTCGGCTAGGTGAGGCCCACTCTCATCGCATAGTCTACAGAACGGATATGTCGGTTTAATTACATGTCTTATGGGGTCACACGTACGGGTAGTCAGAATAATCAGAGTACAAATTAGGGAGGGGTGGGGGTGATAGCGTAAGGGCGTACGTGTGTATCAATATGGAATGGACCCGAAGCAAACCGTCTCGTTGGAGCCATAAGGGCGCTTACTCGTATAACTTACAATTTGAAGTAGTGGTCTAGTTAATACTTCTTCGAATTTTTGATCATATGGTTCGCGGATCAAGTTCATCCGTGGCACTCATGTCCTTTGGCAATACATTCATCTTTAGTTGTCACTCTCAACCCAGGTGTTTAATGGATACCCGGTACGATGTGGACGTTAATGTGGTTGGATTGGCACGTGTGCTCTTGAAAAATGGCGCCTGGCCGAAATACTCCCCAGGGAGCGGAGCATGTCCACTATGAAGTGCGAATAAGCGCTAAAAATCTAATGACCGTGGAAATATCGCTGTGGAGCGCTTAGAAACATAGAATTAAGCGCTATTATTTGTTTTATTATTGTTAAACTCAGATTTACCGCCCATCCAACAGATATAATATAAAAATAATCCCCTATGTTTAAACAACGCACATATTCGGTATAATTTAAATTTAAAACAAATCCACAAACTCATAGTCTCTTTATATTATACATGTATCTAATCTAACATACTTA